TCTGTAGCGAAGGGCGCTGTGCCGGGAGCGGCTGCGGCAAAGGGCTCTGCAGCACCCCCAGAGGAAAGGGGTTTCCTTTATTATGAGATTTTGCCTTAAGGAAAACAAATGAACAAACTCTCATGGCAGGTTAACGTAACAGTCTGCAGCCATGTTCCAGGGGCTGCCTTAGCCAGACTTGCGCCGTTTCCTGCTGGCACCTGTAATCCAGTCATTGATTCCCGACCGCACGCTGGTGTGTTGCTTTAGTGTGCTGCTGTTAGCATTTTTGCCAAGGGGCATTTTTCTGATTCTGGGCACGGGAAGTTGCCATTACAAGACCTAAAATCTGCTCTTGGCTCAGTTTCTGACTCTGACTGTAGACAAATCTTAGCCTTTGTCCTAATTTCCCTAAAATAGCAATAATAAATCTGCTTCACACAGAACAAACTGAGACCGGTGCAGAAGGTGCTGTAGAAGTGCAGTTCTGAAATAGCTGTCCATTTTCTGATCTTTGGCACAGGCCTTGGTCTGAATAGCTGCACTCTGGCAGAAGTCACAAGCTTGTTGTAAGGTAGGAGACCTTAGTCCTTAGAAGCAGTGTGGTGAGCATTCTATAGAATGATGCAGTGATTGGGCTTGAAGGTTGCATCCGTCAGATCTTAAAGTATTAAGTTGCTTCTAGTTTTCATTCGTTGTTGTTGCAAGGTGGATCTTAAAAAGTGTTAATCTAAAGATTCTCTGTCTAGCGTATTAAAATGTAAAGTATGGCTAAACTGAGTTCTTGAGGGTCCAGGTGCTTCAGTCTTCCCCCACTGTTCATTGTAGATGTGAGCCATCTTGTAGGACCTCTTAAAGGGTTTGGGGGGTGGTTTTTATTTAGGGTTTTTTTTAGGGTTTTTTTTTCTTGTTGGGGGGCTGGGGTTTGTAGCTTTCAACTCCCATATGAACCACGTAGCACTCCAATGTCAGTAATTCATCTAATATCTTGTGTTTGTGCCTGCTAGAGCTGTTTGTAACAGCAACCTAATTGTTGATAGGTAATACGTGAAATAAGCGTGGGAATCAGAAATGAACATAATGTTTTGGGCAGGGCAGTTAGGGTGAGGTGGCCTATAATGACAGCAGCTGGCTGCGGGCAAAGAGCTGGGGTCCTCAAAGTGTGTATAGAGTTCCCTTGCATCCCCCGACTGATCCCTGGAAGGCAGGGAACTTGGCCAGCTACATGGGATAGGGAGGGGCGGTGACGGGTTGGCAGTTTTGGTAGGTGTCTCTTGCCTCCTGTGACTCGTGTTGCCCAGATCTTTCTTCTCATTCCAGCACAGACCAGGTGAAAGGTGTGTTGACGCTGCAGGGTGATGCCCTGTGTCAAGCTGTGAGTACTTCCTGTGCTTCTTGCTTTGTACTACCATCAAGGGGTGGGAGTCATCCTTATTACACATTGACCTCAACGGAGAGGTCATCCTTACTACGCTTTACCGATGATCAATAAGTATTCCTTGTCAGTCTTCCCTAATAGGCCTTAAATCCTTAACTTTTCAACAACTATTGAAATTTGTCAAGATCCAGCATCTAACACCCCGCCACATACACACACTCTCTGGTGAGTGGTGGAGTCGACTTTCATGGGAATTCCTTGCCTTTACCACCTGTGTTGTGTAATATCAGATTTCCTCGGGGGCCTTCTGAGATGAGATCATCTGTCCTGCCTGGATCCTGATTCACTAAATGCCTTTCAGCTTAACCTTTGTATTGACATCTTCCTGCAGGAGGACTGAGGTTGTTCTGGCCATACCAGGACTGTTGAAAGCAGCTTGCCAAGAGGTCTGGGAGGCAGAACAGAGCAGGTGTGGCAGACTTCACATTCTGCATATGGGGATTGCTTGCTCTCATGTGTTTGTTTCTTTCTTCAAGGATGTTAATCTGAAAATGCCCAGAAATAATCAGCTCCTGCACTTCGCGTTTCGGGAAGACAAGCAGTGGAAATTGCAGCAGGTACTGTTAACTTTAGATGCCTACCCCTCTGTAGCATCTGCGCCCTCCAAGCAGTAGCCCCTCAGTTTCTGAGAGAGAAGGTTATGTCTGTCCCACATTAGCTCCGGTAGTAAAAGCTAAGGGAGGAAACAGATGCAATTAAATTCAGTTATGGTGCTAGGAGAGAGAGGTGGGTTCTGCTTGTTCCTGAACCATCAGTGAGCTGAAGTCTTGTCTGCATAGCAGTCACAGTCCCTTAAAAGGAGGGCCTAGGGTGCCTCTGCAGTACTGGCCTTGTGTCTGCTTGTAAAACACATGCTAGCAGGGCAAAGAGCAACTTCAGAGGCTTTGAGTAGCTTGCTCTCATTCTCTTACGGAAGCATTTCTTTATGCTGAGAACAAATCTCACTGCATTGTGCTGCGTTCCCTCAGTTAAGGAGTTAAAGGGATGTGGCTATCCAGAACACTGCATCTCCTTCCAGTCATTTTGCTGGGGGATACCTGATTTCTGGACCTGGTCTAGTTCCTGATCTTGAAGACATAGTTTCCTACAGTTACTTTGTCATAGCTGAGTAGGTTGGAGAAAGATGTATTCCATGTGCTTCACTAGGCCACAGTTCAGATTTTTCTAGGTGATCAGTGCATTTGGTCTTGAGTGGAGTTTCCAACAGCTTCTTTGGCAGCAGAGTGAAAGCTCTACGTGGTAACTTTGTAGAAATCGAGAAAATTGTGTACTTGAGATGTTAATGCCAAACTTGACTGAGTTTATTTATGCCTTGCAACAAGGCAAGGAAGTTTTTGTGATAACGCTCAACAAGCAGTGCATCCTATTTTGTGGGTGTTTTGTACTGCTGCCTGGTTGATAAGCTTCTACCAGCTTTTATGGAAAACACCTTTATTTACTTGGAAGAGTTTTGTGTTCTAATGTTGTTCAGATGTGGAATGTGAGTCCCTAAAGGACTTTCTGCAGAAGCATTTACAGTGATTGAGATCTTTGTCCTGTCTGAATTAAAAATGGGCATCTTGAAGTATCTTGAGTTTCTTCCCTTAGTGAGTGGTGCCAGATGGAGTTTTGTTTCTCTGTGCAAAGTAAAGTCAACAGTAAGAAATTGTAGTATGGGCACGTTTTTGAGGAACACAAGTGTAGGCACACAAGTTTTGAGGAATTTGATTAGAAAACAGAGCAAAATCAAGGGGGAATAGGAATGAAGCAAGTCCTCATAATAGCAGGATTGGCGTTGCTGGATTGGGTAACGCTGCCAGGAACCACATAGCTTGCTCAGAAGCATCTGGAAGATGTAAAGGCTGAAGGTGGTAATGTTTGGAGATGCCATAGCCCAAGTACCTGCAGAGTCTCTCTGCAGTCTGACAGTGGATTTTTATCATCTCTCTCTTTTCTCTGTAGCCTCCAGTGCTTTGTGCTTTCTAAGAGCAGGGCTATTCTGTGATCCCTGAGCTCCAGCTGAGAAGGAATCAGTGCCCAGACCTATGCCAGGGAGGTCTCTACAAGGCTGAGATGGGATCTGGGTTTGCTGGGGAGCAGCGTAGATGTATCAAACTACAAATATCCCAAGCTGTGTTAGCCATCTCCCAGCAGCCACCTCTCATACAGGCTTCCCTGCTTACCTTTTCCATTTATTGCACCCTCTGATTTACCCCTTTGCTTTTTTTCAGTTTTCCTGCTGCTCCCTGGAACTGAACACAAGTCTCTTTCTCCCAGGGCCATTTTTTTCTTCCTCTGGTTTGTCCTTGCTCCCATGAAAGCAATGGGATACACCTGTCAACCTTGCTTAAATAATTGTCTTCTGGCTGCAAGCGGTCTTGCTTGAGAGGGACTTGAACTGGCTGTGTCCTCAGTCTCGTCAGGTTCCACACAAGGGGCGTGACGGCAGCTTCTTGATGCTGGAAATAACTCTAGACCCCAACAATTATAGACTAGAAGGACTCTGCAATGCTGTCAGAGACGTTATGTTAGAAATCAATGTTTGCTGCTATTGATGTAATTTACGTCATTGGATTTAGCTCTAATAGTTCCTAAGGAAGAAATCATTATTCATGTTGCTAGACCTGACTACTGTATACCATCAACAGTGAGAATTACTACCTGAACAGTCATGATCAGAGTCCTCCCAGTGTGAGAGTGCCTGATGTCACTGTTCCTTCCGGGCTGCAGCAATATTTTTATTGACAATCCAGGTTGTAGCTATCCGGCTGTTTTGCGTCTCCAGTCCTCAAGTGAAGAACCCAACAATGCATCTGGGCAGCAGTGGTAGATTTGTGTCAGTGCCTGTCTGGTATTCAGAGACAAATGGCCTTAACATTTGAGAAGTCACCATTTTCTTCGGGCCAACAAGATAATGAGGGAAACCTCTACTTCCTAGTGTGCATTGTAGAGAGTGTTTCTTTAATAGGGCTGCATTTGTACCTTTGCAGATCCAGGATGCTAGAAACCATGTCAACCAAGCCATTTACCTGCTTATGAACAGAGATGTAAACTACGAGTTCAAAACAGGCTCGGAGGTTCTCAAGGTGAGGAGAAAGCCCTCTCTACTCGGGTAGGAACATGCATTTTTCTTCTCTCCGTTTGTTGTTTTAAAAACAGTTAATGCACATTGCTGTCTTGAATCTCTTACTGGAAATGGGTTCCCCAGTTGTACCCATATGTACCTGGGGCAAGGATTATCTTTGTGACCTCATATTTGATATGAATCTATACCAGTTTGGCATCAGTAACAGGATTGTACATCATGGTGAATGGTAATCTGAGCAGTTGGTGCCCTGTTGCACAGCACTGATATTCTGAGAGCATCTCCCGTGATCTTTTTGGATGATGTGGTTACACAGCTCATTCTCCTCCATCAGTCAGTGCTTTGGAGAGAGAAGAAATGAGGCAGTCATCAGCAAATAAAATATTACAGTTAGTACTTGTGATTTACTGACGATTTGAAAGTGACTTCTCACTGGCTGGTAGTAGTTGATGTGGTCTGTATACAGACCAGCTGCTGCATGGCAATATAGCCCAGCACTCTGCTTGGAAATCCTTACTGAAGCTACCAGATTCTTGATATACTCAGTAGAATCCATCACAATATCAAACATAAGAAAGCGAAACCTTTTTAGTCTCCACATGGGCAAGGGCTGCTATAGGAAGAAGCTAGGTAATAAAACTGTTTCCTTTTTACTTTCAGGTGGAAGTAGGGGGGAGAAATTAGTCATAAAATGCCTTCATCTTAGCAGTCATGAGCTGTATAACAGACATATGTTGCTTCCCACTTTTTTTCTGGAAAAGGAAGTCTGCCTGAATAGAGCCTTTGAACTGTGGTTTCTGGCAGGATTGGACTCACAATGAGCTGGTTATTTTCTCTAGTGCCCTAGCTCGCAGATGGTTATGAACAGCAGGGTGGGGGGGGAACGGGACACGGGGACACGTTCAGCAGTTGTAGCCGTGATGTGGGAATGGGGAGAACTAGAACACAGCTTGTTGTTTTTCCTCAATGCCTGCTGTTCAGAAGAGCTGATGATGAGTTTGTCAATGCTTCTGCGGCATCAGTAATTGCTCTCATGTTCTCTTCTTGTTCTTCTAATGAATAGCTGTTCTTTCTTCAGTCCCTGGTATTAAACACTCCTGGCCTGTCTCATAAGCGTCTATGACGGTGGTAACAGTTAAACTGCATTTATGTGGGAGCCACCCCTTCCCAACAGGTCCCTGAATTCTTGGAAGGGCGAGGGAGTGGTGGTCGGCATGTTTGTTGTTGTAGCACTTGAAAAAGGCTGTAGGATTCTGCAGCATGCTATCCAGAGCTGTCCAGGAGTTGCCACTCAGCAGCGTACTGTCTGTTATCTTGTAGCTTATGGATGCTGTGATGTTACAGCTTTCAAGAGCCCGAAATCGGCTTACCACTCCAGCCACTCTGACTCTACCAGAAATTGCCTCCAGTGGTCTCACAGTAAGTATGCGGTGGTCTAGATCTCCATACAGTCTGGCAGCATGCCAGGATAGGATATCGTGTTGCATCTTGGTGGAAGTGGATTTCTGAAGTGTCTCCTGAGGTGGAAAGAGAGAGATGAAGTATGTGCAAACCCTGAGCGTTTTTGGCTGCTCTGTATCTTCCTGTGGGAAAGCAGATGATTTGGGCATGAGCACTCTCATTCTCAGAGAGTAAGTTCTGTTCTCAAGAATCTTACTCAGGGATGATTTGCCCTTGTGAACACTGCTCCATCCTCTTTTGTCACCGTTGCGCGCACACCATTTGATCAAGTGCAGCAAGAGGAACAACCATGGCCTGCAAGCTGCTCAGTTGTTGTTCCTTTTCTCATGTCCCTCTCACTGTGGGGTAACTGTAGTGTGGCTTAGAAAAAGGTAGTGATTTCCCAGCATTAGAAATAATGGTCCTTTCACTGACAAAGAAACTACTTATTTTCTCACCAGAAAATGTTCACCCCTGCTCTGCCTCCGGACATCCTTGTGAATTTCTATATTAACCTGAATAAGCTGTGCCTGACTGTCTACCAACTCCATGTGCTGCAGCCCAGCACAACCAAGGTGATGTCTGCTATGTCTTGATCCTTGCTTATTTACCTCTCCCTGTGTCCCACTGTGAGGAGGAGATTGCACTGCTACATGGTGGAATGTTATATGCATAAGATAATGCAGAAATGACCGTAACTGATGTTAAGCGTTCACATTTAGGTCTTCTGCAGACAGAACACTGGCATTAAATCTAGTTTGGGGCATGGCCACTTAGCCTAGAAGAAAACAACAGTTCTCTGGAGAAAACCAGTAACTATTTTTTGCCAAGTAATGATTTATCTTTATAATATAGTTTGATAATCTTGCATAATTTTGGAAGGGCATAATTGTATTAGTACAGTTTACATTGAAGTAGCACCTTGGATTTTCTGAATGGAGTTTTGATGGATACTTTTCTGCTTCACCTCTTGTGTTTGGGTCAGCTTGATGTCCTGTAAAAACAGAATTAAACTCGTAAGCTTTATGAAATGCAGTCCTTCCATAAGGATGTTTTCCCTGAAAGCTATCTTTTGTTTTTCTTCTGGATCTTATCTTATTTTTGCGTTGCTAAAGTTTGGAGCTAAGTTGGACTCAGCCACTGTGTAGAATTTTTTTCATGAAGGAGCAGGAAGGGATCAAATGACATGGATTCCATACGAATGGAGTATTCAGGCAGATAAAATATAGGCATTTCTTGATGTTAGGCTACTGAAAGTGCAAAGCTTAAACATCCTTTTTCTAAGTAGTTTGTTTACGGTGTCAAAATCCTAATGACCTTTTCCTTCTCCTCTAGAACTTCAAGCCTGCTGGAGGATCCATTTTACACAACCCTGGAGCCATGTTGTAAGTACAGTCACTACAAGGGCTGTGTAACAGGTGTAGGTGTATGCTGAGGATGAGATCCAAATGGATGTATGCAGTTTTGATTGTAGCATCTGTTAAGTGGAGAAGCTGGACTGAATCACTTGCTATGGCTGTGAATGCACAGGTGCCCATAATAGTGTTTCTTTAATGACTCAGTCATAAAGGCCCGAGGATGTGACTTTTCAGGATACAGCCCGCCCAATACAGTGTCATGAGCTTGTCTAGAGTTGAGCTTTTGACCAAAATGATCATTAAGTTATTGGCATTGCCATCTGCATTTCCTGCCTTTGTGTCTCTCTGTAAAGTGGTAAGGTTTCTACCTTAACCCTATTAGATTTAGCTTAACTCTAAATCTGATCAGAGCCAGACTGTTTGCGTTGTATAGGTTTACCAGGTGCTGTTTGAAATGTAGTAGGAATCATAGTGACCTCTTCTGTGAGAATAGAGGACAGTTGAGTTTTGTGTTCTGTGCTGTTTTGTGTGAAGCTGTGCTTTTTTTTTTTTTTTTTTTTTTTTTTTTTTTTTTTCCCCCCCCCCCCTGGGT